TTTTTTTTTTTTTTTTTGGTCTCATCCTGACTGCATATTAGAATTGTGGGGAAGCTTTAAAAAAATACAGGTTCTGGTTTGGTTGGCTAGGGAGGATTGGGTGTGGATGTTCCCACTGCCTCCCTCCAGGAGATTTGGGATATTGAATCACTGGGTTAGAATCCTGACCTCCAGAAAGTCAGAGAGCATGCAGATCAATTGAGCTCTCTCTGCCTTGTGCCAAGCACAGTGCCCGGCGCAGAGTAAAGGCTCATTGAATGTGTGTGGAATCATCTTGTCTTGGAGCAGATACCACTTGGCCTACAACATCTTAGGATATTTTAAATTTAAAATTATTTTTCTTTTATGATACCCAGAACAACAAAGCAGCAGGCTAGGTCTTACCCTTTCAGAAAGTTTTTTGGATAACCAGGGCTTCAGGACTCTGCCTGGAAAGCTGGGGAGTCTTAGGGTTCCAGGAGGTTGGTGGGGGAGCAGGCGCAGTACAGTCTGATTTTAGAATCTGTTTCCTTTTGATACTTCTCCCAATGTTTTGTAGCTCAAATGCACAGAATTGAGATAATTGTAGCTTTCATTACACTCACCTTATTGGCCCCTGTTTGGTCCTATTTTTTAATTCATTCATTTTTACATTAACAGCATAATATACACCCTCAAACCTGCCTCCTAACGTGAAAGCGAAGACCTTGAAATGAGGCTACTTAATCGTACAGCTTCTTCCTGCTCCTATCATCCCCCAGCCATTCCATACTCCAGGTAGTCATCATTCTGACTTCTGTATGTGCCATTTATTTGCATATGTATGCATATATGTGTGTGTGCATGTGTGTGTGTGTGTGCGCGCGCGCGTGTGTATATTTAATTCTATCTTAGTGTTTTCCAGCTACTTTGACTTTCTGCTGCTCCCCACCCTATCTTTATAGAATACTGAAAATGAGATTCAGGTTGCTCCATTATTTTTAGCTGCAATAAAACTGTTACTGAAACTACCTCAGCCTCCAGGGCTCTCTAAGAGGGAGGGGACAGAGAGGAGGGAAACTCCCTTTCTGGAGCAAGCAAGTGGGCGTCTAAGAGGCCACTACTCAAGGAAGTGGTGGGCAGGATGAGCTTTGCTGGCAACACTGAGAAGCCTGGGCTCTCTGGGTGATCGCCCTCCTCTAAACCTCCCTGCATCCATCCTTGTACACGAGCCTGGTAAAACTGGCACATCCTCTGTAGGCCGCCCAGCCCTGCGAGCTGCTCCCCAGAGACTCCAGGCTGGGTGCCAAGTTCATTCTCATCGATTCCAGCCCATGTCAGCCCCCGGGAAGTGACAGAGCAGGTGTCAGAAAGTGGTCCGGGCATGGGACCTAAGATGCAATCACGGGGGTGGGAGGATGGCCCTGAGGGGTGCCCTGGACCAGCCACAGCACAGCCCAAGCCTGCCCCACCTGATGCCAGTGTGGCAGCACTAGGCCCCCAACAGTGCTCATCACAGATGCCCCCTTGCAGCTCCTCGGGCTAAGAACCAGTTTTCCCTGTGAGTCTGTATGATCCTCCTCAGTCCTTGCCCTCTGCTGGGGAGGCTGCACAGGAGCGGGGAGGGCAAGACCCTGGGCTGCAGAGGCTGGAGAAGCCTTAGACGGGACAGGTTGATCCCCTGCAGCCAGAGGAGCTGTCCACCAACTGGAGACATCCAGGTCCCTTCCCAGGCTGACTCACCTGCATCCCTCATTTACCCCAGGAGGAAACAGAGACCTCAGTGAAGCTAGGGGAGGCCACTGTTTGAATACTCTTCCCATCTTATTTTTTGCTCTAAATGGATCCCTGGCTGAGGCATCTTTCCTAGGCTCCCTCCTGGGCTATGCACTGGGAAAAAAGGTTCTCTGCCCAGTAGACCCAGGAGGCTAAGACCCTCTGAGCCCCACCCTACAGTTCTTGAGGGCCAACGAAGGCCCCCAGAGAGGGACCAAAGGTTTGCCACATCTGTTAGGACGATGTGCACCTGTCACTCTTGCCACTGGTCTCACCAGCCGTCATGGCCACTATGTGCAGTCCCCCTGCAGGGGCTGCCCTTTCAGAACCCTGTTACCCCAGGACCCCATAGCCAATGGCTATGGCCAGGGCTCGGCATCCACAGGCAGTGTCCAAAGTCTCAATCCTCCTTTTCGATGTGACCTGGAGTCCAAGCTTGTGATGCGCACCTGTCTCTCTATCCAGAAGCAGTGTGGGTAGGGTGGAGGCTGGTAGCAAGTTAATCTTTCAGGGCTTTTGTGAAGTTAGCCTGAGACATTGCAACTCAACAGCTCCACACCTGACCTGGAGCAAACAGTCAAGAAATCCTAGCAGTTATGATTGTCATAGAGCGGGTGGACACCCATTCATCCTTCACAATCCTGATGAGGCATCACCTTCCCTGTGAAGCCTTCCTTGATGACCCCACACACAGACCTGATGACTTTTGGATGTTCACTCTTGTGGTCTCATCTTGGACATACTTGCAGTCTGACATGGTGATACGGTCACGGCGGCCCGAGGGAACAGGTGTGCAAGGGCCTTCCCGTGCTGGGTCAGAGAGGAGCAGACAACACCCAGTGGAAAGCACATACCAGTTATATATTTTTTGGCATTTAAAAATTTTTATTGGTACATTTTAGATATATGTAATGATAATATTCATCACAGGGGATTTGTACCTGTACATGGTACATCTTGCTTCTACTTTTTCCCCCATTCCTTTCCCCTCCCTCTGCCCCTCTTCTCCTTATTTACAAAAGCTTTGTTTCCATTTTTCCTATTCCCTTTTTTTTCCTTGTCCCTTCCCTTTCCCCTGCCTGCTCTGAGACCTCATGGCCAGGCTCCTCTGCTGTCCTCTCTAAATTCCAACCTGGAGTCCATCCTCCAGGGACTGTCTTCATCTGGTGGCCTTCACTGCCCTCTCCTGACCATGCAGGGCAGGACAGTGCCCGGGTGGGGTGCTGGTGGGCTGTACACCGAGGCAGGACGGGACACTGGCCAAAGGGTCTGCGTACGCTCTTCTGTGTCTTGGGCCTGCATGTGCTGAGCCCAGGGCCACGGCAGAGGACAGAGGGCGGTGGGAGGTGCTGAGAGCGCTCCCAGGGGACGCACCCCAAAGCCCCGCCAGCCTCCCCAGCAGGCTGAGCCCCAGGCCTCCTGGTGGCACTCGTGGGCACCGGGCCTTGCTCCCTCCCTCCCAGTTATCTCCTGTCTTCCTCAGGGACTGTGACAGATTGAGGAAAGATGGTTCCAGCTAAGAGAGTCCTATAATTATCAACTGCGGATTATTTTAATTAAAATGCTTTGCATCCTCAGCTCTTAATTTCTAAAATGATTATAAATGTTATTATTAAAGAAAAATCCTTGAAGTGAGATCCATAAATCTCTGCCTGGGCTGAGATGACAGGGCAAGCTAGTGCGGCGAGGAGAGCCGGCAGACTCCACGGGCAAGTGAGGGAGGAAGCGAGGAGAAAGGAGGTGAGGGAGAGGGCTGTGAGTGCACCCCTCCCGCTCTACCTTCTACATCACTGTCTACAGTGGAAACTGAGAAATCACACCAGGTCTCAGTTTTGAAACTTGCCTCTGCTGTTCGCTGTGTGATTTGGGGCAAGTCAAGTAACCTCTCTGAGCTTCAGGTTCCTCATCTTCAAAATGAAGATAATTGCCATCTGGCTGGACTATTTTAAGGCACGTTGATAATGCATGTAAAGTACTCATCGTCGGGGCTCAGCTACATGGAGGCAGTTTCGCTGAGCTCCACACCCATCCTCAGAAGGGCTCCCGGAGTTCTCAAGATGCACCTGTTTCTCCTGCTCCCGATCACTGAGGAGGGGATTCTAGGGACATGACTGCTGCCAGCCGCAGCCAGGACCCAAGGGGGCACCTCCCCTGTCCGCTGCCTCTGCAGAGGAGGTGGGGCAGGAGGAGGAGAGAAGGCAGCTCTCTCAAATGCCACAAAGGAAACGAAGGCTCAGAGAGGGAAATGCCTCGCTCAAGGAAACCCAGAAAACTGCTTGACAGGCCCTTTTACCCATTTTACCAGATGGCTAAAGCTGGCCTTCCTTATTTATTTTCAGCTTGTCTTTCTGATGATTGAGGACAGACAACCTGAAGAAGGAGATGCTGCCAATGATGACAGTGATGAGGTGGAGGAGGAGAGGGGTCAGTAGCAGCAAGGCAGAGTGGCCAAATGCTGGCCTGGGGGTCAGGACACCCAGACTCTACTCCAAGTGCTCTCCAGGCCCAGATGCTGTGTGACCTTGAAATGACCCCTTCTCTCCTAGGATTTGAGTTCCCCCCTCAATAAAACCGGCTGGTAATCACCGCCCTGCTGACCCCCAGGCTGGTGCGCAGCATTGGCTGAGATGATGCATCTGAAAGTGCTTTGTAAGCGGGAAAGCGGGAAGCAAATGCAGGAGATTATTAGCATTAATATTAATGAACCCGCTCACAGTTGGCCACTGGCCACGGAGAAGAGGGAACATCGGGAGTCTGGGAAGAAGTGGTCCAGGCCTTTGTGGGCTTTGCAGGTGCCTCTGGGATAGCAATTCTTGCAGAATTTTCCCCCCAGATTCCTGTAGGTGCAAACACTAGAGAGGAAGACTCAGGGGGGTTTCAGCCAGAGAAGCTGGCCGTGCAGGCAGTGGGTACTGTGCAAGTGGGACCCTCTTCCCAAGGCTGGTCTGTGTCTGGGGCTCAGGAGGCACTGAGCAGAGGGCTTCCAGTCCCCTTCTTTCCCCAGCCCATCCTCAGAGGACTGAGGCAGGAGAACGGCCAGGCAGGAAGGGTAAGGACCGAGGAGGTGCCTGAGCTCTCCCAGCACTGTCCGCTTGCCTTTCCTTCCTGCACTCCATACATGGGGGGCTGAATTAGTTTGGGTCCCGGGCCATTCATTCATTCATTCCCATGTCCAGTAAAGATTTTGGAAACAGCTAAGATGTGCCAGGCACTAGGCCAGGCACTGGGAACACAGGTAAATAATACCCTGTCCCTGTTGTTAAGGCTGAGATGCTGCCGCAGAGACAGATCACAGAGCTGCGGACAGGCCATGTGCTACCTGCCAAGATTGGGATCCAGGGGAACACACTGGAGCTGGGAGATTTTGAGAAAAGATTTCCTGGAGGAAGTGATGTCTGAGCTGAGCTGAAGAGACAACATGCACGTTCACACCCATGTTTCCTAACTCAGTGGCGCATTCTAGTTCCTCATCTCACAGAGGAAGGAGGCTCCGATCCAGGAGGCTTGGAAGAACTCCACTTCCGGCTACATCTCCTGAAGGTGAGAGCCTTCCATGTCTCTGCTTTCGGGAGTCCGAACCCCAAGGTGGGGTTTGGACTCCAGCTCAGTGTGACTCCAGTCACATTTACTTCTGCCTTCAGGATCCTACACCCTCAGCTAATCACCCCCCAACCCCCGCGTACCCCAGAGCAGCCCCGGCTCACGTTCACTCTGCCCTCACTACCGGCACTCGTGTCCCCTTAGCCACAGCTCACGTCCTGTTGCATGTCAGCATGCAACTGTATAAACCTAAAGGCAGATTTAGAAAACTGCCAATCCTTGCAGATAACCCTGTTCTAAGTAGACTTTGATAATTGCTCAGATAATGGTTCTGGATTCCACACTGGGCAAAGGAGAGAAGGTTTTGGGGGAGATTCTGGGAGGTGAGAGCATTCCAGCTGGATGTGGAAAGATGGAGGGTTTTGTCTCAGCAAAAGTATGAGTCTGGCTGGAATGGAGAGCCTGGAGTCTAGCGGACTGGAGAGCGGAGGATGGAGCTAGGGCTCTTAGCCACTGTCAGTCAGGGGCAGCTCTGTACCAGGTGTTGTGATGGCCATTTCCGGAGGCCCGCGACACCCTGGGGCTGGCTGGCTCTGGCTGCCCAGTGCAGCAGTTTGCCATGTGCAATGCAGCTGAGTGTAGTGCCCAGGATGGAAAACCGGACCTGGCTGTAGGAAAACGAATCTGCAGCTGTGTGCTGTGCCAGCCTGGGGGAGCTGGAGGAGCCATGGTAGAACAGCGTGTAGGATAGGGGACTGCTGCTATGGTGCCATTTCACAGATGAGACAGTAGAGGCTTAGGGACATAGGTGATTGACCTCAATCCAGGACATCGAATCAGGTCTGAATGGCACAGTCACAGCTGGTCTCAGCACCCTGCCTCTTCTAGCTGGAGGCAGCATTTATTGGCTCCTCTCTCCCCACTCCCTCCCAGGCCCTTCCAGCCCACAGTGGGAGCCCAGGGAAGACAGAGGGAGCTGCCTTTCTGCTTCCCGCCTTCCAAGAACCCAGCACTTTGTTTGGAGCTGATTACTCAGAGGCCCTTTGATTTGCAAGAGAAGCTGGCGGCCAGCCTGTCCCTGGCCACCAGCAGAATCAGAGGTTTGGCTCCAGGTGAAAAATCTTCTTCCTCTCCCTCTCGATTTTCCTCTCCCGCCTCCTCTTCTGGCTTGTTTTGAAGTTTATTTTTAATAAGGGATTTGAAACTTCAGACACTGCAAAGCTCTAGGACCGTAGAGGATGGAGGGCTTGTGCAGACTGGCTGGCAGCAGGAGGGCCGGAAACAGGCATTAACAGGATTGCTTAGTGTCTACTGAGTACCTACTAAGTGCTAGGTAGCAGTTTATCTTCACCACTGCTCTGTGAGGAAGAGTGTTCATTATACAAGTGCAGAAACAAAGGCAGAGAGAGGTTTGAAAATCTGCTCCAGGTTACACAGCTCTACAGGGATGGAGCCTATGAGATTCCAGAATTCAGGCTATGGTCACTGCCTGGGCTGGGATACCTGATGTCCCTGGGACCCCTTCCAGGCCCTGTCCCACCCAAAGGTCACAAGCAATGGACCTCTGCTTTCCCCGGCTCATATCTGTGTGATGTGGAGAAGAAAATTGCAGACTGGGAACCCCTGGGGTCCTCATACTGGCTGACTCACAGGGCTCCCCAGGAGGCTTTCCTTGGAGGTGACCACACTTCTTTTTGTGGGACAAGAGGGGACCACAGGAGATGGTGGAAGAACCCATCTTTGAATGACCTCTGACAGTGGTCTCTCACCAAGATTAGTGGAAAATCTGGTACTTCCTGTAGAAGTGGCCAGCCTGTTCCTGACCTGCACCTGCCTCTGTCCAGCTTCACCTGAGGCTCTCCTCTTACCCTGGGTGCCAGCCACAGTTGTCCCAGACTCCATGATCTTGCCCTCCACAGGGTCCTTGCATATGGTGTTTCCCTCTTCCAGGGACATGTGTGCTTTTCCTTACTTCGCCTGGTTCTTCCTCATCCTCAGAACCTCGGGGAGGCCTGTGGGTCTGTGACCTTCCCATTATTTGCAGCACTGAACTGACTCTCTGTGCCGTGGCGATAGGCATCAGGTCTATTGTTTGCATTTTCTTTACATTCCAACTGCCTGTGTGCAGCTTGGGCCCAGCCTAGACCATAGCTATTACCTATAACATCAACCTCATGAGGACATTCAGAGGGTGAAAGAAGAGAAGGGCTAGGTGGACAGTAAGTGCTCAATAAATCCCAGCCACTATTGATATTAATTCTGGCCAAACACTGATGGGCATTTCCGGTGTACTCACATATCTTAGAAACTTGAATCAAAAAAGAAAAAAGAAAAAAAAAACCTGAGGCTCTGAGAAGTGGCCGGAGATTGTTGCTAGGTAACCTGGCCATCTGGGTGCCTGGGACTTGCTGCTGCAGCCCACCCCCCAGTGCCTTCTGCTGATCCTGGATGCTCACATGGCCTTTCCTTCCTTTAATGTGTCCCAAGGGCCCAGGAGGAGCAGGCAGGATAGAGACATTTCCCCAAGAGATGGAGGCCTGACCCTGTAGGCCCAGGCTTGACTGGCTATTCAGGGCCCCAGCTCTCCATCCAGGCCGCCCCCTGTCCCATTTGCCCTTCAGTGGCTTCCTTCCCTAACTAAGGACATTTGCATGAGGAAAGCATCTTCAGCGACTGCCTTCTCGCCACCTGCTCATGCGGCTCTCTCCACACCTGAAGCCACAAATACATATGCAAAGGTCAGTATATTAATTTGTGTTTGAGCACAGAGCCGGGACACCGCCGAGAAAGGGGATTAGGCAGGGGCAGTGGGTGGGAAGCGACAGATGGCTTCATTGCTTTTACCTGTTGCGAATTTGTTAGGCAACAACTCTTCATTTGTGTTCAACGGCATCCAGACACCCAGGCAGCAGGACGCTGCCCCTCAGTGGTTAGCACCCCTGTGTGGTCGGGGAGAGGTTGGTCAGACTACTGCCTGCCAGGAATTGAATACCAGGATTCCAGTGGAGGACTCTTTATTGTTCTGACTGGTTCTTTCCCTAACAGGTCACCCACAACACTTTGGAGCACTTGAGCCACAAGGCAGGATTGAGCCAGGAGGCTGCAGGAGCGTCTCTCCCATGGGTGGGTCACTTGGCATCTCCGAACCTCATTTTGTTGGCTGGGAAATTCGTATCCTCACTCCTGTTCTATCTCTTTTGCAGGTTGCTGGGAACGTGAGCTGGATTGTGGATCTCAGAGCATTTTGACATGCATAATGCTCTGTAATAGTGAGGCATTATTTGCTAGCAGACCTGTTAAGATCTCGGATTCTGGAGTCAGCCAGACCTGGGCTGAATTCTGACTTTGTCACTCAGAACCATTGGGGCTTTGGGTAAGAAACGTGTTTTCTGAGTCTAGGTTCCCCGCCTTCCACAGCGGGTGCTAAGCATCCCTACCTAGGGATGACAAGGAGAAGTGACTGGGAGGAGTGATTGCAGTACAGCCTGGAGCCCACTGGCTCTGAGGTCCAGGTGTGTTCCCAGGGCTCAGAAGCAGGGTTAGGGTGCACTGCTGTGCTTTCCAGCCTTGACTCAGAACTACCTGCTCTGTGTTCCCTTAACATGCAGGGGCCCTGGGTTTGACCCCCAGCACCACATCCCCTCAAAAAAGAACCTCCTATAAAGCCTGCTTTGATCTGTGTTCCCCCTGGCTGATTACTCTGTCCAGTATGTCACCCTCATGGTGGCAATCTGCTGGAGGGGGGTCATTTCTTCCCCATCAGCTACATGAGGGCTGCTAAGCTGGGACCAGTGTTCCTACCACAGGAAGGTGGCACACGAGCAAGTGCTCTGTCTTCTGGAGTTGAAAAGAGGGGTTGAGCCTCTGAAATGGAGGGTGCTCAGTCTTCACACCTGGCACCAGGTGGTCCTGGTGGCTCCCGAAGCCTCGCTGTCCCACAGTCCTCTGGATCTAGTACTAAGAAAGTTTCTGGTGCTCAGGTGAGCAAGAAGATGTCTGCTGCTCATAAGCAAGAGTCCAGCTACCACTCCTCTCTCCATGCCTTGCCGACAGCTCAGTGACAGCTTGTGAGGACTCCCTTTAGATTAGCCATCTTCTGCTCTGGATTACTTGCTTTTTTTGTGACCTTGGGCAAATCATTGAGCTTCCCTGAGCCTCAGTTTCCTCTTCTGTACAATGAGGGGCTATTGTGAGGATGGCATGCCACAGCAGAGGGAAACGCCCAGCTCCGTGTCAGGCATGAAACCGGCCCCCAGTGCTGACGGATTAATTCCGCATCATTCCGGGAGGAAGGACAGTGCTTCCAGGTGAAATTCTGCAGGAAAAAAGACCTGCAAGTTTGTCAAGAAAGCATCCTTTAGAGAAACCGCTCAGGGGGTTATTGATGGCGATGTCATTTTATCTCTCCTTAGCCTTTGCATTTGTCTCAGAGAAATGTGCAATTATTAGAGGAGAGAAAAGATGGAAGGAATGCAGATCGGCAGAGTGTTCTCTGGGGCCAGGTGGGGAAGAGGAGGCTGTGGCGGTGGGGGTCCCCGGCTCTGTGGGAGGAGCAGGGAGGGGTGATGCAGATTCTGCTTTCCCTTCCCTCCTCTCCCTATTCCCGTTACACCTTACCTTCTCTTCTCTGTTGGATTCCACATCTTAGTAGGACCCTCCTGAGCCATAGCCCTGGTGTGTCTTTGTAGCTTGCCCACCCATCTAACTGGGTTCAAGAGGTTGGTGCTGTCTTGTCTGTGCTGGGGGCAGATGTGTGTAAACCACTCAGAATGGCAGACCTTGGCTTCATAGCCAGCCAGTTGGGGAAAAACCCTTGGCGATGTTATAGGACCTTGCCCATGTTCCAGATTTTGTCCTTGTGCCTTTAACAAGTCTCTTCTGCCCACATGTGCTTGGCCTGGACCCTCACCTCTATTGTCTAGGAAGCAGAGAAGGGAGGCGAGGAGGATCCTATTCTGGTCAGGCTCAGTGTTTTCTGGACTCCTCACATAGCCCTGGAAGCCTCTGGTACTGTGTTATGTTAAGGGTAAAAACACCAGGGTTACTGAAGTCAGCTGACTTGGCCAGTGTCATGTGGCTGGTGGCCCTGGAATTGGAACCCAATGACCGGTGCCAGGTGGCTTCCGCAACAGGCTGTTTGTCTCTCCCAGCCTGCGAGTTTCTCTGCCACTGCTCCAGTGGCACCGATAGTCAGGGCACCCAAAATCAGCAACCAGGCTGTGCTGTGACACCCAGACTCCTGTAGATTCTCCCGGAAGGTACACCGAGGACACCCAGGAATAAGCAGCCTGGATCACAGTGGGAAACAGACTAGACTAGTAAGAAAGGCGGTTGGAATGGAGGACTGTGGGCTTGTCTCCCTGTGTGTGACAAGGAGAAGGCCGCGGAACCCAGCAGGGCACAGGCTTAACCTTGATCCCAAACCTAACTCATGTTTACCAAGAAATAGCTGTTCTTAGAAACCTTGCAATCCGTTATTAGAATGTGATGTTGGATCTTAGAGAAACCTCTGGAGGAAAATCATGCTGGGAAAACAGGAGAGAGCTTGCTGGTAACTTGGGGAGGCCAAAAATGATGAAGATCCATTAGAAAGGACAAAGGGAAGCGGTTTGAAAAGGAAAGAAGATGTTGGGGTGAGATAGGCCTCTCTTCTTTCATCCTCTCAGCACAGAACTTTCCTAAGTGTGTGTGTGTGTGTGTGTGTGTGTGTGTGTGTGTGTGTGTGTATTCTCAAAGGCAGCATGGCATCTGGGTGAGGGTGGAATTCTTTTGGGACTATGCATGTTTTGTAGGAATTAATATGTGTTTAATTTAGGCACTCCCGGACTCTATGCCAAAGTTTTCATCAGCTTGTGAAGAAATGAGAAAAACATGAGTAACTTTTTCGTAAAGCTAAATTTATTCATTTTCAACAGGATTGTCCTTTTTTCCCCCCAGGACTATATCTTTCTTACTGCCATCGTGTGAAAATATTCTTTCGCCTCTAAAAACATGGTGATCATAAACTGAAGTTGATTTCTTGAGTATGTACACCTGGCTGTCTATAAAGCTGACACTTCTGTGAATCCTCCATTTCTCCATTTAAAATTTTTGCTGAATTACAAGACCCTCCAGTCGGAGGGAGACTGGGTTGTACTTTGTCAGTTAGCATTTGTGTCAACTCCCTTCTCAATCTGGGGACAATTTTTTTTTCCTGCTTAGTACAGTCTTTGAGATTCAAATAACTCCACCATGTGCTTAAATCTAATAGCCTTTCTTATGTCTACAGGGTAACATGTAGTCTATGCCACATACCCACAACGTGGGGAAGGAGACATTTCTTTTACAAGATCATATCTCTTTCTTTTCTTTTTTCATTGACAGGATCGGGGTTGAAGCATTTCCAGTGTCATAAAGACCCCATCTATGATCTCTTAGGCTAACATGGGGGTCTTGGTAATTTAGGCTGCTGTAACAGATTGTGGATAGCTGATGAACTAAAGGTTCATTTCTCACAATTTCTTCCAATCACAGATTGGAAGCCCTAGACTAGGATGCCAGCATGGTCATACTCCTGGGAGGACTCTTCTCCTTGTTTGTATCTTGCTGTGTCCTCACATGGCAGAAAGAGCTAGCTAGCTCTCTGGCTTCTTCATAAAATGGCACTGATCCTATTCATGAGGGCTCCACCCACATGACTTAATCACCTTTCTAAGACCCAAGTTTAAATCCCATCATAGAGGGATCTGGGTTTCAGCACATACAGTTGGGGAGACACACATATTTAGCCCAAGCTAGGTGAAAAGATGGAAGGGCAAATGGGCGTAGCAACAGATGCTGAACTCTCATGCTATCCTAAGACAGTTCAGATGCAGCATAAACTGAAATACAGGTAAGACGTTGCCAGTTCCTAGGCCTTGGATGATGAATGCTGAGAACCAAGTTCAAGGTTGGGGTGTAGCTGAGTGATAGAGCACTTGCCAACCATATGCAGGGCCTTGAGTTCAGTCCCTGGCATAGGGAAATAAAAGCAAGTTTAAAGGGCAAGCTGAAGAGGACATGTTAGAGGTAAATAATGCTAAGTACTGAAGTAATACAGAAGAGAACACAGAGGTGAGAGTGAGGAGTTCCCAGACAAGAAGGCCACTAGTTAGGACTGAGTTCTGTGCAATGCTTGGCAGATGGTGCAAGATTAGAAGCTTCCTGCAAAGATGACACAGGTTCCTGGGATAGCAGGTGCAGCCTCTGAGTTAGTAACTGCTGCAGCAGGTGGAATGGGAGATTGGGCAAAATGGGTGATCCTTGCATTGCCATAACACTATTGGTTATGTAAAAGAAAGGGGCCTGTTCCGTTCTTGTGCAGAGAATTTTGCTGGGGAGCAAACTGTAGCCTCTCTTCTTGAGCCTTGTCCTCTCCCGCTCTAGATGTGCCAGATGAGAGAAGAGAAGTCCTAATGTATAGGAGAAATTCTGGTCTCTGATGGGAACACTCAAGTGCACAAAGATTGTGAACGTCCCTGCTAGACCTTTGGGTGTCCTCGTCTTAAGTCAGCTCAGGCTGCCGTAACAAAATATCGTATCATAAACTGAGCGACTGTATCCAGAGAAACTCATGCTTCCCAGTTCCAGAGGCTGGGAAACCCAAGATAAGTTGCTGGTTGATTTTAGTACTGGTAAAGTTTTGCTTTCTGCCTTGTACAGGGTTCTTATGGTAGAGTGGGCGGGAATGGAGGGGGAGAGCGGGAGAGGGAGAGAGAGAGAGAGAGAGAGAGAGAGAGAGAGAGAGAGCGCTCTGGTATTTCATATAGACAAGAGCCCCATATTATTAAGCTCCATCCTTATGGACCTCATTTACCCCTAATTACCTCTTTATGGCCCCTTCTTCAAATACAACCAATCGGATTTTGAGATTAGGGCTTCAACATCGATTCAAGGCACGGGACATAGTTCAGTGCATGGCGGTCCTCAGGACACACAGCAGGCAGGTCCTCTTGGTTCTGTATGGGATTGGCAAGCAGACAAGGTCATTCCTAAAGAGGAAATCCTGGTCCCCAAGTTGGGTGGATAAGTGAGGCTGCTTTCAGACTCAGGCAGGAGCGGAGGAGCCTCATTAGCGCTGCAGGCCTCAGCCACGTTCTCCAGCTCAGCTTCCTGAAAAACATCTCACTGGGGTCATAGAAGTGGCCTCAGATGTTCAGCAAACCCTCCGTCAACCTCCAGGCTGCTTAGGTCTCCAGGCTTTACAGACCACAGCTATGCTGCTGTTTCCTGAATGCCCCCCTGAGCTCTGGCGCTGCCTCTCCCACACCTACCCATTTCCTCATCTCTGCTCCTGTCCTTCCGGGTGGGTGTGTCCCTCAGGGCCCCCATCTCACTGAACGGCAGGTGCTCAGGCTAAAACCCAGAAGGTACTCAGGACTTTTTCCTTCACTCCCAGACCTCAGGCATTCAGCTGGCAAGTGCTGTCAGCTGTGCATGGAAAATGGATCCAGAATCCAAGCACTTCCCTCCATTGCTATGACCCCACTCTGGTCTGAGCACCATCAACATCTTGCATCACAGGTCCCCAAGGAGCCTCATAATGGGTCTTCTCACTCTTTCTGTGTCCCCATATCCCCCATACTAGCTCTGTCTTCAGCAGTCACGGCTCTAAGTCCTTCCTTCAGCGACCTCCCTTTCACTTCCAGACACACACACACACACACACACACACACACACAAACACACACACGCACACACCCCTTACTATCACTGGTAAGACCTGCCAAGATCTGGCTCCCCTTACTTCTCTGACTTTAGGACTCTGTTCTTCAGTGCTCCTGCATGGTCTTCTCTCCATTCCTCGAGTCTGCCACGTCTCTACTTCAGGGCCTTTATAACATCTGCTCTCTTTTCCTGGGCCTTGCTCCTCCCAGATTCTCCCACAGCAAGCCCCTCATTTCCTCTCAGTCTTTGCTCAGGGAGTCTTTATGGTCCTATTACCTGCGATTTCAACCCCTTAACGTTTTATGGCCCCCTTCCCTATTGTATTGTTTTTCAGACTGGCTGGCAATCACACCATTTCATGTTTGATGTATGTGTGGTCTTCTTTGTTATCTGCCTCCCAGCAAGAATATAAGTGCCATTAAGAATTGTATCTGTTGTGTTCACTGGTCCCTAGAAGAGTTCTGGCACATTGTAGGTCCCTTGTAAATATAAATATCTGTTCATTCAACGAATACATTAAGCAGGTGAAATGTTGCTCAGCTCCACGAGAGATTATGGAACACAAATTAAAACCTCCACAAGACACCCCTTCATGCTAACTGGAGTGGTTGTTACCAGAAAGATTACAATAAGAAGTGTGGGCAAAGACGGGAAGAAGTAGGAAGCTCATACATGGCTGGTGGTGTTGCAAGTTCCTGGTGATCAGGGTGGAGATTCACCTCGACTGGCTTTGGGATGTGCCCCCAGGGATTGGTGCAGCACACTTCTGGGTGGTCATGGAGGTATAGCCTTGGGGACCTCCATCAGGTCTCTGATCCCATCCTTTCTAGGATTCTTCCCTTCCTCTGCTTCCTGGTCACCATGAATTAAGTAGCTTCTTTCTGCCGTGTCCCCTACACCATGATGTTTCTGACTTGGAGCCAGCTAACCATGGACTAAATCCCCTGAAACTGTGAGCTAAAGTGAAACTTTCCATTAAGTGAGGGTGCCTCAGTGATGAGAAAGCTGACCGATACAAAGACATTCCGCAGCTCGGCAGTTTCTGAAAATGTTAAACATAAATTTACTATTCAATGCAGCAATTCCACTTCTAGGTAGCTATGTAAGAAAAATGACACGTCTACATAAATGGACACATGTATTTGCATAGGTGCATAAATATTTATAACAAAACTATTCATAACTGCCTACCATGGAAGTTAATCAATTGTCCCTCAACAGGTGCATGGCTAAACAAAGTGTGGTATATCTATGCAATGGAATGCTATTCAGCAATCGAAAGGATAACATATTGACCCGTGCTACAACATACATAAGCCTGAAATCCATGCCAAGTGAAAGCAGTTACAAAGAAGACCATGTGCTGTCTGCTCCCACTTAACTTGAAGCTTCCAGAGGAGGTCAGTCTAGGGAGCAGATTAGCAGTGGCCCAGGGATGAGGGTGGGAAACATTCTACAACTGGATCGCTGGTGATGGTTGTACCCCTGGGTAGATTTATTAAAAGTCATTGAATTTAGTGATTAAACATTTTAAATGGGTGACTTACATTGTGTGCCAATTATACTTCCACATTGTTGTTTTTAAAAATGAAGGAAAGGATGCTCCTCATGTGTAGATCCCTTGTTCACCTTGTTCAGGGGTCCTGGGTGGGTGCAAAGGAGGATCTGGGCCTTTCTGTCCCCTCCTGTCCACTGCCAGCGTGACAGAGGAGGCCCTCCACTCCCAGAGTGGGCACAGCAGCGGTGCTGCCAGACTCTGATGTTAATAGGAGGGCCCTGGGGCCTCTGCATGGAGACAGCTGTGGACCAGGCCTGGGATGGAGCCCGCAGAGCCAGGGGTGGGGTGGGGGTCGGTAGAAGGCAGATGGGGCTCCAGAGGAGGAAGAGCTGGAGTCAGCAAAGGCTTCAGAGAAACAGAAGGGCAGCCAAGGGAAGAAATAAAAGCTGTGGAGAGCCCTGGGGCCACCAAAGGGAATAAGAAGGGCATTTTACAAATATATCAGGGGAAAAGAGATACTTGAAAGCCTCCTGGCCCATTAATAAATGAGAAGGGAAATAAAATTAATGATGATGATAAAAATGGCTGAGCCACTGAAATGCTTTGTAAAATTGGTCTTTAACAAGGAAAAGGAAAAAAAAAAAATCCCAGGGATGGGCAATTAGAAAGGGACAGATGCCTTGTCAATATAGTTGATGAAAGGTAGGAAAGAGAATACTTGGAACAATTGAATAATGTCCACCCCATCCAAATCATGTCCGGATATAGGCCTTGGGATCTGAAGGGAATTAGCTGATGAAGTTATTAAACTCTTGGCAGATATTTTAATTGTATGTATTTTTGAGGGGTGAGGAAAGGAGAATCAATGAGAATTCAAGAGGTATAAATAGACAAGAGGAAGAAAGTGCCATATATCTGGGTTCTGGTGCCCAGGTCCTGGCCATGCCCAGCGTGTCCCACACTGTTCCATCATTTTGCCTCCAGCAGCACCGAGTGGGCTGTGAGGAGCCCACTCTTAGCCAAGGAGGCAGAGGCTCGTGAGAGTTGAGGTGTCCTTCCAAGATCACTCAACTAGCAAATGGTGCCAGGATTTGAACCCATGCTTTTCTGATCCCAAAGAAGAGTCATTGGCATCTTCCAGAGCTGCATTTACCCACTCTTCACTTTGATTCCAGTGCAGTTTTATCTATCCATCCATCTGCCAGAAATTCACTGTCCTGTAGCCTTGGGATTCTAGTGACAACAATGGAAGGCCGTCTCACTTGGACTCTGAGGTGTTTCAAGAGGATTTCAGGAGTTACCTGTTGAGGAGGAAGAAATGGGGCCAAGGTTGCGTCCTCAGGCTTGTGTGGATTCTTGGTCCCGATTCCTTACCATACCTTTGGGAAACTGAGAACTGAGACAGGTAGGCATTTGCCAAGGGTGGCACCAGAAGTTAGAGCCGCGGCCAGGCCTTCAGATTCTCCTCCTGAGGCTTTGTTTTCTCTGTGGCTTGGTGGACCCCTATGATTTGTCCTCCTCACTGGCTTCTGTTCTCCGGCGTCCTGAGTCTGACTGCAACTTTGATTCTCAGCTCAGACCCTGTCCCATTCTCTATGCCCTTGGTGCTGTAACTGTGGCTTCCCGTAACCTTGCTTCTCATCTCAGCTGCTCTTTTGTTAACCGAAGTTTCCCAGGATAAAGAGGGAGGGAGAAACATGTAGGGCACTTTCTGCTCCTGTGTCACTGCAGTCTTGTCTTCTGGGGTCCTGTGCATGGTCTGATGGGAACTCGCTTGCGAGCCATTGAAATTCTGCCCTGGTTCTTTGTTCCTCCTCAACTCCCCTAACTCTCGCCACGATTTCACCATGGACTTGCTTTGGTCAACAGCATATTAGCGATGCCACAAAAGCAGGAACACAGGATGTGCTTGAGTAGTTGGGCATCTCTTCTTACATCTGTGCCACTGCCCGCCATGACATGAGCATGCCCAGCTAGTGTGCCATTCAGAGAGGGTAAAAGATACCACCACCAACCTCCCGTCTTGGTGAGAAGCTCAGCTCACCCAGCTTCTGTGATTTGAAGTATAATTGTTTGGCTGAAATGAGATCAGGCACAACTCAGCTGATTTGAGTATCCTTGAGAACAGATGAGCCCTGATTTGACCGAAGATTTGTGATTGTTCATTACACAGCAATAGCTAACTGAGGCTCATGTACAGAGTTGGCTTTAAGAGCTCTCTAGTTCCTAAGAAGCTCTTTTTTACTGTTGCTTATTAAAATTAAAAAATACAAACCAGCTGGGGATTTAGCTCAGTGGTTCTGCCACCTGCTTTGCAAGCACAAGGTCCCGAGTTCGATCTCCGGTACTGAACAAACAAACAAAACAAAAAATACAAAACAAATCATTAAGTGTCCAGTAGATGTCCCTTGCCAAGTTAGGCAGAATGTGTTCAGAATCTTCCATTTCTGTTCTTGAGGAGTTCACCCCGGGGAAGACGGAGTCTTGGAGGAGGTAGAAGGGGCCAAGGATGTTCAAGATAGAAAGTACAGCATGCAAAGACCTGAGGGTGCAAAGCAGATGGATATATTTTGGAGCCCAAATTTTTCTTTGGAGACGCAAGCAGAGCCGAGGTCCAGCCGTGGCATTTTTATAAGTCTCTGACCAAATGTTTTAATTAGAAAAAAAATAGTGGCATCACCAATGGCGGTTCATTACCGATGATGAAGTCCAGGGATACTCCATGAAATGAATAGGCAGCACACGATGTGATAAAACTTAAAGAAACTCACAGGGAACGAAAGACTCCCCGTGCTTCCGCTGATGCAATCAATACCCTAATCCAGGGAAACCAGGCACAGAAGTAATTACACACCTGCACCTGCTCCAGGGGTGCTGGGGTTCGGAGCCCAGCCAGTCCTGGTGTGGGAGCACCCACAGCTGAGACGGCGGGGTGGAGTGCGGAGAGGGCCCCTGTGCCCCTCCACCACCCCCAGGGGCCTCCTGGTTCCCTGCCCTCCCACTTTTCCAGGGCTGCTCCTCTAGGCTGGGTATGGCGAGTGAGGAAGGTGGGCCAAGGCGGGGCTATGAGGGGAAGCACAGCTGCTCCCAGGGGGCCACCCCTCTCTTTCTAATGCTCCCCTCCAGGAGCCAGGGAGCCCTGCCCCAGTGCGTGTGATTTCAGAGCTAATCTGTCTGCACTAATTAAATATTGACGGCTGTTAAATATTCATGGGGCTTTTTAGCTGGCAGCTCTGCTGTCTCCAGGCCCCGCTGGCTGCCGCTCGCCATGGGTCATCCTGGATGGTCACTTTGTCCTCCCGGCCATCACCCTGCTGCTGTCTGGACCTCCCTTGTCAGGCGCCCCCCAGCTCCTGGGCATAGGCTCCCCTCTCCTGCACCTCAAGTCACTCTCACTGCCCCCAGGACACACAGTCAGCTTGCTTGTGTGCGATTTGGGGGGCTTTGGCTTGGGGAGTTGGCAGGGATGGGTCGCCAGTGTGGCCAGTGTAACCTGGAAACCCAAGGAGGGCCCCGGGGCTGCTGGAAAAGCAGCAGAGTGTCTCCCATGTGGGTCCCCTTCCCAGAGAGCCCCTCATATCTGGAATGCTGGGCTGGGTGGCAGGTGCTGGAACCGCGAGAGCCTGGTCCAGGGTGGGGGTCAGGATCCCAAGGGAGGACGGGGTGGTGAGAGGCGGGCTGCGGGGACAAGGCTGCAGGTCCGGGTTGAGTGCTGGAAGAATGGCGGGTTGGGGTGTTGACGGGGACGCCAAGGGCTCCTATGTGGCTTCAGTTCTCAGGCTGGGATGCCTGTGAATTAGGTCTCCGCCTGGGGAGTGAAGCCGGCGACTGGGACGCACATGTGGAATCCGAGAGGATGTCAGACTAGTGATGTAAAATGTGGGCGTCACCAGCATTCACATTGTATTTGGAATCTTGAGGCGGCGGGAGACTGTCCCAGGGAGGAAGAGCAGATCGGAGAGTCCTCTGAGGGCTAAACAGTTTATAGGTGGGGGGATGACAGGAGATAGTAAGAGAGACTGGCGCTGTCCTTGCAGCCGCCAGAGTCTGGCAGGGACTTGGTGTCTGGCTTTGGATCCTCCCAGGACGCGCCCCATTCCGGAGCCATCTGTGCGCTTTTGGCAGGCTTTTTCTGCCCTCTAGTGGCTGTTATTGGAAGCACCCCTAAAGAAGCTTGCTGTCAGATTGGCTTTCTGATGGCGGCTTGGTCATTTTATGCATCCATCCTATAGTTTCCAGTACCCCATACTGGGCATTGACCACTGGGGGAGTGAATAAAATGCCTCTCTCAGAATTCACGGCATAGTGAAGGAAAGAGAGAAATACCACACTAAGACGACGAATCTCAGATGAGGGTAACTTGGGGGATAGCAAGAGACATATTTTCCATTTTTTTATTACTTTTTTTTTAAGGCCTAAAGGATTTGTTTAGTCGAAATTTAAAGTACTCGCTCAAAGAAATAGAGGTAGAGTCCAAAAGGAAGAGGCACATTATATCCTTCAGCTGGGAAAATGTAAATGTTTTTGGCCGTGGAAATTTGTGAAATACAAAATGTTTGGGTCTGGCTTCCAGGAGAAAATGGATGACTCAGCCACAGGGAGAAAGACAGTGGCCCATTTTACAGGCGACAGGGCGGCCCA